GTTAATTAAAATTTTCTTTCAAATTAGCCCTTCCCCTTAATATAATATAATGATCTTTGTTCGTTTATAATTTTAGATACAATAATGCAAATTTTGCCACGCCTCCTGATGGTCAACATGGTAAAATGCGTATGTATGTTTGGGATGTGGTCGATCCACTTAGAGATGGTGATTTAGAAGCCGGTATCGTTGTAAGTTATTTAAACAATTTTCCATACTTGCACTTATCATGATATTTATTTATTGTCATTAATATTAAAAATTTTTTTTTTTTAAATTAGATTCATGAATATTCTCATGGTATATCAACCAGATTAACAGGCGGACCAGCAAATAGTGGTTGTTTAGGATGGGGCGAAGCCGGTGGTATGGGTGAAGGTTGGGGTGACTTTTTTGCGACTATATTACGTATGAAAGAAGAATATAATCGTAGCGTAGAATTTGGAATGGGTGAATGGGCAAATGGTGGTGAGGGTATTAGGGCTTATCCTGTAAGTAATTTATTTAATTGAAGTTAATTCTTTTTTTTTTTTGAAATTTTGTTATTATTGCCATCATCATCATTATCATAATCATAATAACATAATATATATATATATATCTTATCATTAGTACTCAACCTCTCTTAAAACCAATCCTGAAACATTTGGTTACTTGGACAAACCAGGATATTGGGGTGTCCATGCTAAAGGGTAGATACATCAACATTATACGTCAAAACTATAATTTATTTATGCACGCATGCTCATACTAACACTCGCACTCGTTAATTCACATTTTTAATGATTAATTAGTGCTGTATGGGCTGGAATTTTATATGAAGTTTATTGGAATCTTGTTGACAAACTTGGGTTCACATCATCCTGGTTTCCACCAACAGATGAAGAAGATTATAGTTGGTATGATAGATCGATAATTGACGGATTCAATACAAATAAAATTCCAAAACATGGAAACACATTATTTTTACAATTAGTGGTTGATGGTATGAAACTTCAACCATGTAGACCAACTTTTATCAATGCAAGAGATGCAATCTTGCAAGCTGATGAAATCTTAACTGGTGGTGAAAATAAGTGCGAAATCTGGAAAGGATTCGCTAAACGTGGTTTGGGTGTCAAGGCTAAACTTGTTGGCGGTCCTGACTGGGGTGGTGTCAGAAAAGAAAATTTTGATGTTCCTACTTCTTGTTCTCACATCTGTTAAATAAATTAAAACATTATAAAATAGTATGATGACAACGGCTAATTAAATATTTAATTTCTCTTGTTTTAAATAAATATTATAAACTTTTTTCGTTTCATGAATGTTTTCTCAAAATCAGTCGCCTTAATCGAAATCGTATTAATTCGTATTAATATTAATAAATCAAGAAATGATTCTTAACAAAAAATCACATGATATATCAACATCCAGTTAGCGCTCGATATAAGGGAGAGTTAGTTTTGACACTGTTTACTATTACTGTATTCATTATATAAAAAAGATTGGCAAAAGTTTGCTTTATTTTGATCAGTGAATAAAAGGAACTTTTGAGCTTTGTAAAGAGCCGTCTCTATTTGTTTGTTTACGGTTATCTGGTATCATTAAATGTGTGCTTACAGATTCGCATACAAGAAAGGGACAGTAAGTGAGAACCAATGTAAATTCATAAATTTATTAATGACAAGTATCAAAGTATTGTGTATTGCTTGTAATTAATTGACAAGAGTAGCCCAAAAGTTAAGCCATAATCAAAAGGCTACCTTGCAATATCCATTTAACAAGAATCAAAATATTCTTATTACATATTATAATTTAGAAATAAAAATAAAATAAAATAAAATAATTATTGTGAATAAATTTATAATGGAGATTAAATTGGTCACTCTCTTTTAGAATCTAATGTAAATAATTGTTAGCAATAATTAATGGATAGATAATAATTTTCAATTAATTAATAATAAGATTTTTATTCACCTTCAGCATTAAAGAGAAGAGAGTTAAAGCCAAGAGTATCTAATGGACTGTCATTACTTGTATAATTTTTAAAGCTTCTAAATTTAGCAATCTCTTCATCTAATATTCTACTTGTATAATATGCATCTGGATGCGATTTATGTGCTTGTTGTGAATTACTACTGCCACTACCACTGTTGCTGCTGCTGCTGCCATCATCATTAAAATCAATTTCTTTTAATTTATTAAAAGAAAAACTCACAAGCTCTAGAATAGTTGGTCTTTTAGATGGGTTCACATCCCAACATCTCTGCATCATTTGCACATAATCATCAGGCATTCCAGGTAATATTAGTGGTCTTAAACCTTCTTCACATATATCAAAAATTAAATGATGATTGTGAGCCCTATCATCAAATGGTGGATGACCTGCAAATATTTCCCACATTAACATCCCAACACTATAGATATCAGATTCTTTTGTGTTCTTTTTGCCTCTAAGTAGCTCAGGTGCAACATATGATACAATTCCATAAACTTTACTTGATGACTTTTCATCAACCGGTCCACATAATCCTAAATCTGTAATGTAACAATTACCTCCTTGTACAAGTATATTACCACTATGTAAGTCAGAATGGATTAAATCTTTTTCATGTATATGATATGGGGCATGCTGCAACAAAACCAGACAAAGTGAACATTGATGTTACCAAGAATTTCAGGGATCAAGATTTAGTCATTTGTATAGTTGTTTGCCGTATCCTGTAATCAGTGTTGGTATTTGGCCATTGGCCTATTTTTGACCAAAATGGCCAAAAATAAATGTACAAATCACGTGAACATTTTTACCCAAATAAGTTTTATTCAACATTAAAATATATGTAAGTTCTTAATGCAATTTTAAATGAAAAAATGGAACTTCCAGACCATCAACAAAAATATCTCTTATTTCCCACTTTGCTGTGTTGTCTAATGCAGGATGTGTTTGATCCAATAATAAATAAATCATTCCATTGATCAAAAAAAAAAAAGATTTAATGTTTTGTGACAAATTTTCTTAGAATTACTTCGCTCAGAGATTCCACTGTTTGAACTATCTGATCCAAAAATTGATCATACACTCCAGGATGCATAGCTTTGAATTTTGAACATTTTTTTAAATGTGTAATAATTCTTTCCCTTTTATAACAGATTCAAAAATGATGATTAATACAAAGAAAATCTACATCTTTAAGGCTTTCTAAAGAATGTTTTTTCATATTGATAGGCGTTCTCTATGTAAAGTTAACCCTATTTGAAAACAGTGTCACTTTTTGCTTCAGAGCTGAGATTATTTTTCAGCTTTATGTTGAGTGCCTTGAAAAGTGGATGAAAAGATGTAGATATTTTGTGCTTTCATATGAGTATTATTTTATGGGGGTTATTTATTATTAAAGTTTAGAGGAAATAGCAAAAAACTGGAAAAAAAAACAAGACGAATTGAATTTAGTAAAAACAGAAACTAATAACTTTTAAATTGTCACGAGTTTTATTAAAAGAAGCATATAAAAATATTTTATTTGGAACTCTTTATAACAAAGGTTGATTTAAATCCAGTATCTATTGCTATAATAATATAAATAATTATTAATGTGTTATCACATAAAGATTGTATACATTGATTGAAATCTGCAATATTTTTTGAAATTTTTCCATCTATCTATTATTAAAATGTAATCATAAATTATTAATTGTGTTAGCAATATTTTTTGAAATTTCCATCTATCAAGTTCTCGAATTAGTATTATTAAAATTTAATCGTATATTTTGGGAAGAGAGACTTTCGTCTTCGCTCTCGACACAAATCGCATTAATGCCTGCACGATGTTGTTCTTTGCATGGGGTGAGCGAATGCATCGGAAGTCTCCCATGGAGAGGTCTATAATTTTCTTCGAACATATTGGCGAGGTTTTCTTCATGTAATTTTTTGATTGATTCGATTGTATCTAACAAGCAGAGCTATGCAGATAAAATCCATTAACAAACAATACTTATATGAATGTGACTGAATCAAATGAAACAACAAAGGTGATTACCTTTAAATCCCATAATAATTTAATAAAATTAAAAAAATATATTTGTTGATTATCCCAATCGATGGGAACAACGACTTTATGAGTTCTTTCGAATATTAAGACACCAGATGCGGGGTTAGACATTCTCCAAAGTTCCAAATGATTGTCTATAGATTGTGTAAACAATTAAATATCAAGAAATGACACAATAAAGTATTTAATTAAAAGGTAATTTACCAAGTCCATGCAAGAAAGACACTTGAATCTTTGAAAAAGTCCTGTAGGAAGCCTTTTTGTAACAGTATGAAAGGTCTCCTAACATATAAATATTTCCGACTGCACCTTTAAGATGATCCCAGGTGGATCGTGGTTTATCTATACAACCATAACCACCACTAATTTCAACGTGACCAATTTCAATATAATGATTTTTCAAACACATCAAGAAAACACCGTCCGATTTTTGTTCGTAATCACTTTCCTTTTTCCTTTTACGATAAGATTCGATTGATGATAATGCTATCTCTCCCCTTATATAAGAAAGAAAGTCAATATTATTAATTTATGCTACATAAAGACAATAACTAAAATAGCACTTACGGTTTATATATCAAATCATCTTGTAGTCCAGATAAAAGCTTCATTAAACAAATATTAATTACGTACAATTTCTACGAACTCTCGGATATATTTCCATGTTGTATTATGGTGTTATCGGGATAAACAAACTCAAATCTATAAATGGTTAAAAATTGAGAATTAATTACAGCAAAAATAGGCAAAAATAGTAAGTAGTTCAAGTAAGTTTTCTACTTACAAATATTTTAAAATTCTTATCGAAAAGGTAGTGAGTGGATCTTCAAGTTCTTGATTAATATTTACCAATTTATTATTATCCAACTTGTTTTTATGGTCCTGTGAACAAAAAATAATTAGATTTAGGAATGTCTCAATTCTAATAACAAAAAGAAAATGTTCAAAGCAATACCAGCTTAACGATTTCCTTTAATGTTCTTGAAGGAGAAATATATGGTGCCTTTTTTTACAGATTTGCTGGATTTCATTATAATCAGCTTCTGCACACCATTTGGGTCTAGAAATGTTTAATCCACATCTAATTACTCCCCAATTCTCCAACCTAGTGTATTGTATAATATTAAAAAAGGCATATTTTTGAATATTTAGTTCAGATGTTTGATTTACTGTACCTTCTCAATATAAAGCATTTTGGGAATGATTCAATTTACCTCATTACGTGTCCACTGAGATTTGTCGCTTCTTTTAATAATCTCTTGACGGTGATTCCAGATTGTAACTTCCAATTATTCCTATTTATTAATGTATTGGCATTCTCATCGTTATTATTGTTGTTGTTTGAGCTTTCGTCAACTGATTTGAAAATAAATATGGATTAATTATAAAGTAAACTAGAATGACGTTCAAATCAATAATCACCACCCTCATTCTTTCTTAAATAACTAGAATAGCTCGTAAAAAAATCAACCACTCTCCAACAATACTTACCCACAGGATTCTTTGATTTTCGTTTCTTCTTTCCTTTTTCTTCTGCTACTAAAAATTTTTTTTAAAAAAATTAGAATGATGACAAGTTGCAAGTACCACCACCATCCTAATAATAATAGCATTTACCTAGGCTAGCGATATCTTCACGAAAATTTTCAGTTTTTCTTTTTTTAACGAATGATTTGGAAAATTTTTAAGCAATATATCATTTAAATTATGTTTTAAGAAGAAAATGAATAATATGGAATACAAAAAAAAAATTTATTTTAACAAGCTAGAAATGACGATATTCATTTTTAAAAATAACTAGAGTGACAACAGGTGGCAGGCGATAACCACCACCACCATCCTTAAAACACTTACCCATGTTGTTCTTTGTTGATTTCTTGCTTTCTTTTTTTCTTCTTGTCATTGAAAGACATCTTGAATCTTTAAAAAAAAGAAAAGTTTATTTAATTGATCGACGCGTACATGCTAATTATCTATCCTATTGGTTATTTTTTGGTAGGACAGACGCGAATTGATTTTTTTTTTTCTTGGAAAAACAATTTATTTTCTGACAGAGTCCAAGGTGACAAAACGTGAGTGTTGTTGTTTGGCTTGGTTTGGGTCCCCTAAAGAAAACGTGTTAATAACTAACCAGAGGTACTTTTTTTATTTGTATTGATTGTTATTTTTATTTTATACAAATATTTTAATTGGAATCAAAACGCGGAGCAGATCTTGCTGGGTAATTACAAGATTTTCATTGATAATATTTTGCTTTTCGTAATCAATAACAATATTAATAATAATATTATAATCACAAGATATCAAGGCAGCACACCATTGAATATGAGACATTTGATTATCGGAAATTTACAGATGTTGAAGCACGCATGCATGCTACCTTGAACACATTACAGTCATTCACTCGTTTCTCGTGTACACAAGGCTAATCTGACTTGCATCCCTCGATGGATATGATGATGCAGTTGAATTTCAGGGGGGGGGTCGCTCTGCTCTGGAGTTTATCGAGACTGCATCAATCGTCAGGACGCTTTCACTAATCTCCCCTCACCAGAGATGGCCGCTGGCACGCTAGCCGAAAAGTCGACTGCAACGATCCTACCTCTAGGGCAAGGATGGCTCTGTGACCTAGTCGCAACTCTGCCGATGAATTGTAGTGCCATGTAAATATCCAGATCCATCAAAGCAATGAGAACCTGCAACTTGTTCCAAGCACAGGAGGTCACAATTCAGAGCAGGGTTGATGGCTCTGAAATTGCATTTGGCTCTGATGTTAAGAGGAAAGTTGTAAAATAGTGTTTGTTTTGTATAATCACTTTCATAAATGCTCTGTTTTTCTGATACTAACTAACAAATTTATAATTTTGGGTAAGGGACTGGATTGGGTTTTTGCCCAATCAGTTCTCTGTCTGTAGGTTAAAATTATCACATGATCATATACATCTTTGTCAGCAATATGTCCAACAAGAAAAAAGCCATAAAAATGGTTCGGATTTTGTTTGGTATGTTTTGTTATAAATTAAACATTTTCCCAAATTTTCTGCTTCTCTTTAATTTTTATCTGACCAACTGAATTTTAATGATGTTAGCCGTTTAAAAATCCTTAGCCGGCTAAGCCATTTATTACCTAAATTGGTAATTTTATTTCTATAACCAGAAGGTAACGCAGAAATCTATTACCAAATTTAGAAATTGTGTATGCAGATTATTAGTCGGCTAACATCACTACTGAATTTGTAAATGGGGGTAGGGTTGTTGGTGAGCAGGCATGCCACTGACAAGACAGGGAACACCTTTGAGATATACCAGCCAAACTCATAGAAAGGGATCTTTTGTCCAGACTTTGGGTCACATGGATGTTAAGCACAGAAAATGTACACTATCAATGAGGCTAGCGATATCTTCACGAAAATTTTCAGTTTTTCTTTTTTTAACAAATGATTTGGAAAATTTTTAAGCAATATATCATTTAAATTATGTTTTAAGAAGAAAATGAATAATATGGAATACAAAAAAAAAATTTATTTTAACAAGCCAGAAATGACGATAACCACAATCACCATTCATTTTTAAAAATAACTAGAGTGACGAGTAATGGCGATAACCACCATCACCATCCTTATTCTTAAAACATTTACTCATGTTGTTCTTTGTCTGCTTCTCTGTTTCTTTTTTTTAGTATTTTTGAATCTGTTTGATGATGACATTTTCTAAGAAAAATGAAGTTTGTTAGTTGATCAACACATACACATTAATTATTTATCCTATTGGTTTTTTTTTTGGTAGGACAGACACGAATTGATTGATTTTTTTTTTTTTTGGAAAAACAAAAAACAATTTATTTTTTGACAGAGTCGAAGGTGACAAAACATGAGTGTTTGGGGTGTTACAAATTATAATAAACACAAACATAGTTGAGCACACATATAAAAAATCATATGTGCGGATTTTTCGC